TTGCAAATATATATTGTGTTTTATAAAATTAAATCTCACCTACAGAGGCAAAACACGAAGACGTCAACAAACAGCAGTCTCGAGCAGAGTCAAGCAGCAGAGATCGTTTAGGAGAAATCACGTGACCGATGCAGCTGAGGTGTGGTACGGCGGTGACTTGCCAAACTAGGAAGCGACAACGTTCATCTTATTTGCATTCATACGGTTCGCCGGTTTACTTTTTTTTTTTTTTTTCTAATGATGATTTGGATTTCTTAACATCAGCAAGAAATGAGCAACAGCTTGCTCATATGAAGCCTCATACTGTCACTACAGTCGTTACAGTGCCAAAAAAGACTAACAATGAATTTAATATTTTTTTAAAAATGTCTTATTTGGACTTATCTGTCATGTTGGAGCAGTAGCGGTTTTTGGGCGACGTGGGTGGTTGCACAGGGCGGCATCGTGGTGGTGGCGGTATCACGGGTATCGGCAAAAAAAAAAAAAAAAAAAAAGTTGCTCGGAGGCTACTCATGCTGCTCCGACATCATGCCAGCGCATTTGGGGGATGGCATAGGCACCGATCGGTTTTCTATCGCCCATTTGCTGGGAGTAAGAGCGCCCTCCGTTTGTGAGTGCGCCTGCTTGAAAAGCTCAAACACACACAACAGGTGCCGAGAGGAGACAGGTGGGAGCGCAGTTGCTAATAATCACGGGGTAAAGACACATGGCATGTAGAATTAAACTCAAGCACACAAGACAGAATCAAACAGGAACAAGGGAAACTCAGAAGCAGAACAACACATACAGGAACAACAAAACAAGAACAACAACATAAGCCACATATCAAAATCCAAAAAAGTCCACAACAGAAACAAAATGCTGGAATAAAGGCACAGGGAATAGGAAAAGGCATAGTTCTAGACATTTCAGGATGTTCAAACTCAATACGTCCAATTTATTGTCTCTGCAGGAAGTCACGTTAGAGTCACGTGTGTTTACGCTGCTGTAGGGTGACCATAAATAAGTGCGTCATAACTAAAGCGGTGAAACCTAAAGCAGGTCTGAGTGTTTAACAGGTTCAGTTCTTGAATGATCTCCACAGAACAACACAAACATCTCATCATCAATCATCAGCTACATACTAAAGACCATCATCATCCAAAGGACTTCAAAATGACGTCACTGTATAAGATGTATATTGTACCATGGAGGAGGCAGCATTTAGCTGGAGCCTCCATAAAACCACAGCTGTTCTGGAGAACTTGGTCCACCTTTGATTGTGTTGGAGCCACAGAGAGCAAATCATTGTTCTTTATGGAGAACCAGTGAGGCTGTTTGGACTTTCCTATAAAACATTAGTGCAGGAGTCTCTCAGTACATCTGTTTACAGTGAGGACGAATAAGCAGCAGAAACAGTGGAACCATAGATGACTGTAAACAGAGTACAGGAGAGTAACTGAGTGTAACCGGTGTGATTCTGCGTTGTGTCTGATAAAAAAAGGTAAAAGAAAGAAAGAAAGGCCTCCAAGTAAATAATTTGCCCATTCCAGCTCCTACGACCAAATACAAACAGTGGGGAAGAGGGTTAGCTCAACCCACCACAACTTCCAAGCTAGCAAGGAGTATATATTCATGCTAGCATTTATGGCGCCTAAAACACATTTATGATACACACATACTACACACTCATAACATCTAATAAAAAAACAGGCATAATGATGACAATAATTGAACTAAAATCACAATCAGAAACATCCGAGTGGCTAAATATGAATTATATGTGTGTTTTAAAGTGTTGGGAAAGAAATTACACCAACCTCTCCCACAAGGGAATTGTAGAAAAGGGGAGAGGCAAAGGGGTACACTGTATTTATAGGGTTGCACCAAAGAAGAAGAAGAAAATAATGAGGAGGGGCTCTAACTGATAATGAACATAACTACAGGCTTGGAGGTCCTAAAAGTCAGGTATAAAAGGAGCAGTTTGGAGGTTTAGAACACATTTTGTGTAATTATAACAATGTGATTTATGACCCTGTTACATGAGTACACTTCCTGTTTGTGATTGAGGTGATTTTCTTCTTTATATTGCGTCAGATAAAGTCTGACAGCTTTTGCTTCTTCAGATGATGAAACACATTGAATTCATTTAATTTCATGTGTTTTTACAGATTGAACCAGACAACAGTAAATCTAATGCCTCACACTAACTCCACATGACATCCATCTGTAACCAGCGGAACCAGTTAGTGGTTATTTCACTAACGCTCACATATGTCAACCTGTCAGATTACCTAAAAGATTTGAAGATGTCATATTAAACACTTAATGTTATTCAGAAGGATCTGAAAAAAATCAAGAGATCCAGTGACTGATAAAAAAACAAAACAAAAAAAAA